CTCTTAACGATAGTCTCATGCTCGTGAAGAGTATGAAGCACGCTACGTTCCGCTGGTTGACTAATCGATTGTAGGTTTCCTCTGTCAAAAACGATTGCCTCCCAAGCAATAGCGGCTCTCGGAAAGTATCTGAATGAAGTCCTTAGGGAGAGCAGTGTCCACTCGAAGTCAGACCACCGCACGTGTTCAGTTCCACACACAATCACTGGGTGGGAGGCCAGCAGGATCTCTTGATAAGTCCACAGTCGGTTCTTCCACGGCCGGTCGAAAACGTAGACGAGATCCATTCCTGAGACGTATTGCATCCGGCGGGTAAACCTAGCCAGTAAAGGCTTGTTATTCCCTGTCTACGTTAGCCTAACACACTTGGTGAACAGGTAAGTACTCGCCCCAAAACGGTTCCGGGTGGTGCGTGAGACTCCAAGAGGAAAGCCCAAGACGCAGCGCTGCAACAAAAGGTCGATACTGCGGTGGTCCATTCGGCACGATTCTCACATATCTACGAAGACCGCCCTTCGCCAGGTATTTCATGACGCGGTCGGATTTCTCATCACCCGTCCCCAACCAGACATACACTTGCTCAGCCTTTGAGTAGATATCGCCCATGAGAGGAAGCTGCCACGCTTTCTCCTTTCTCACGTCTTCTTGGTCGATGCAAATCGCGTCTACCCAGATGACGAGACCCTGCAGCTTCTTGCTGAGGTGCCATAAGGCTGAATGACAATTCTCGCCTACACCGAACACAATGCCGTCGCATACAATGTTGCGCGTGGGAGTTGGGTCCCCCCATACGTATGATAATGCTGTGAACGCAGGATCAAAGTCGAGATCGATGATGCGTAGAGTGCATTCGACCGGTGTGTCCTTGGTGGCATCTTGGGGGATCGGTCGCACGTCGAGAACGCGTATAGTTCTTGTTTTTGGACAAAGAGCATGCTTCTCGTACACGGCTTGCTTTTTTGATGAAATCTCCTCGGCTTGCTCTACACATGAGACCGCATCGGCCATTGTTGGTGGTACACTGAGCGTGCAAGGCTGAGATGTAAGTAGTGCAAAACTTCGAGATAGTATGGAAGTATAGTAACAGCTTTGCTGCCAGATTAGAATGAACGTTCCCCAGAAGCGAAAACAATAAGGTGTGTGATAGAATTTTGTAAAGAATGAAGAGAGGGGAATGATGTACTGTCGTAAAGGACTTCAGCAAGCAAGGCTGAGAAACACTAGTCACAGCCTAGTCTGGCTACGTGCACACCACCAGCACTTTACCCCGCGACTGTTGTATAATTAGAACCGTGTGGCTGTATTCGTATTTCTCACAATCATGACTGGATAGAATAGAGTTCATATATCCAGGTCTCTTGTCGATCTATTGCCGGGCTCGCGGTGTGAGCTTTTACTTCTGTCCTGGCTCACACGAGCCAGCGTGAAGAGTAGCGGATACAAAGCCTCATTGGAAGGAGTTCGTGTGATAGTTCTCAGTGCAACCTCGTTATCCGGGTCATCGCTAACGTGACCCACGTAGCGATGACATAGGGAGCTTGAGCGCTGTCCAGAGAAAGCCGGATCGTGTCGCAGCAGCGTGTCGTGCCTTATACCTGAATGGAGTGGAGTGACAAATATGAATATGCCTTTTTGCAAAAAACAAGAGGTTGAAGCCCATCTTACTGTTGTCCTGAGCAGTCTTGCACGGGCCGCGTGCTCTCGCGAGTCGCTCCTGCTACCTGCCTGCGTTTGCATTCGGGGGCGACGGGCGTACGAGGCAGCGTGAGAGTCTGATTGCACGGAACCATGTGAATGCGACATAGGAGCTAGTGGAAATGAGAGCAGGGCAGGATGATGAGAAGTCGCTCTTAGAAACGTCAAAGCCGTGTCTGTAAAGGAGTCTTGGTCGGGAACAGCCGATGGCGGCCGGTGCACAACACCTGGGCAAGCACCGCCGCTAAAATTCTCGCCGAATGACGGGCTCTTGTCCGACAACATCATACATCGCTCAAGAATACACTGCTTACTTAACTTACCAACCATGAGCGCGATACCTTCATTGCCAGGGCGTTATCTTCCTTATCTCGAGGATCTGGTATTAGTGGGTCAAGATGCAGCATCCGACGGAAGCAGAGTTCCGGAGCGCAAAATATGCCGACAGGCAAGACCACCCGTTGCACTGACAAAGCAGAAGTGATGCGACAACTACACCGTGGGCGACAGAAGTATATGCATACCATCCAGCATCGTGTTACCGAGGAAGTCTTGACGATCAATCAGCGTACGGCTTGGTGGATGCGAAAGCCAGCGTAGTGCGATGACCTTTCCAAAGATGGCTTTGCGGATCGAAAGAGAAGCCTGTGTATCAAAAGTCGATTGCCGCAAGTCCAGCAAGGTCAGAAATCGATGTTTGCAAAAAAGAGAGTGTAGAAGAATACGTTTGCTCGCGGAGTCGAAGCATACCTAAAGTACACAGGTATAGTAGACGGCAAGTCTTGACGCGGAAGGATCATGATCCCTCACACACTAGTACAATTGCGCAAGAGAGCCCTGGAGCGATCCGATGAGGTCTTCCGTCGGATCTTCCGTCGGATCTTCCGTGTCGGCTACGTATCGTCTATTGACGTTACACAGACATCCTACGGCTACGCAACTTCGCCAACTTCCAACTTGGGTCATGAGCAGCACGTCTTATCACCGCAGTCTGTGTAAACTCTGGAAAGATATTGGTGCTTGCTAATTCCACAAAGCCATTTACAGATAAGACAGTTCCGAAGTTGGAAGGGTCACATCGGCTGAGTGGCTCGAGCTATATCGGAATGCTGCAAGGTACGGGCTGAAGATGGCATTCACGCAGTACATTAGGAGGAGGTGATCCAATCCAATGATCCTCATACCCATCTTCCAGCCTTCCTGACACTGCCTTCCGTTGTCCATACTATACCCATCCTCTTAGCGATCCATCCCTTTACAGCACCGACGTGAATCCTGCAACCATGGGCTCAACAGAACTCAACAGCTGGAGACCTCTTAGCGTAGGCATAATCGGCGGAGGCATCGGCGGCCTCTCCTCAGCCATCGCACTCCGCCGCGCCGGCCACACCGTCACAATCTACGAGCGCAACGACTTCGCCGGCGAAGCAGGCGCATCCGTCTCCTGCGCCGCCAACGGCACGCGCTGGCTCCACGAATGGGGCGTCGATGTGGAGAAAGGCGATCCCGTTGTTTTGAAGAAGCTCATAAACCGGGACTGGACGACGGGCGAGCCGGTCAGCGTCTACGATCTTGATGACTATGAGGAGCGGTGGGGTTATGTGTATAATATGTTTCATCGGCAGTATATGCATAAGATGCTTATGGAGTGTGCGCTGCAAGAGGAGGGGGAGGGGACGCCGGTGGAGTTGTTGGTGAACCATCCGGTAAGATCTGTGGCCTCTCTTCTCATGACACTGTGCTGATAAGTGTTTGCAGTGCAAAAGTATAGACATCCCCACCGGCCTAATAACCTTCTCCAACAACACCACCTTCCACCACGACCTCATCATCGGCGCCGACGGCATCGGCTCCACCACCCGCAAGATAATCGGCCTGAACCCCGAAAAGCGCCCCGCAAAATCCAGCTGCCTACACGCCAACGTCCTCCGCAAGGACATTCACCGCCTCGGCCTACAAGACTACTCCCTCAACAGCGCACTAGAATACTGGGGCGGCCAAGAAGGCAAGTGGGACAAAATCGTCCTCTCGCCTTGTAACGGCGGCGAACTTCTCTCCTACTACTGTTTCTTCCCCCGCGAGAAAGGCGACTATGCGAATCAGACGTGGGGTGGTGCCGATTTGCCTGTCGAGGAACTGCTTGCGCCGTATCCTGAGCTCGATGAGAAAGTCAAGGCTCATCTTGCTATTGGGATTGAGGTGAGGCCGTGGCGGCTTTGGGTTCATCAGCCTTATCCGTATGTTGTTAAGGGGTGTATTGCTTTGATTGGGGATGCTGCTCATCCGGTAAGAGACATACCATCGATTCCTACACGACGCCATTCTTAAGTACATTGAAACTGACTTGCATGTCTCAGATGATGCCGCACCAAAGCCAAGGCGCGTGCATGGCAATCGAAGACGCAGCCGCCCTAGGCATCCTCTTCAGCAAAGACTACTTCAGAGGCGACGTACAAGAATCACTCGCCGTCTACGAGAAAGTGCGACTGCCTCGCGCGACAAAAGTCCAGGCTTCTGCTGCGAAAGCGGCGTCTAACATCAACGAACGTATTGGTATGTCATCTTAACATCAGCATCAGCATCCATTTTCGCAGAACGAGTAACTAACGGAAGGAATTTGTAGGCTTCAGCAGCAACACATCAATGGCGAACTACAAGGTTGAAGACGAGGCGAAGAAGTTGACGATCGAGGAGATGAACGCATATGATATGTACAAGGACATCGACCAGGCGTTCGCGGAGATGGAGGGTGTGCCGTACACGGATAGATATGTTAGGGGATTGCCGTTTGGGCTAAGGTTGTCGAATGGGGTTCAGATTGCTGGGAATGCGCGACTGTAGTGTTGGGAGATGTACTTAATCGGATTATAAATGTACAAACATGCATCGCTTTGATCCCCGTATGCGCGCCGTGTTGGACGTAGGAAGGATTGCGACGTTGCCGCGAGAACGTCGGAGATGAAGCATGTTGATCGGATTCACGCACAAGGTAGAATTGTATGTGCGACAATATGATTGCGTCTCGATTTTCTTCGTCAGTTACTTTTGATCGTGCCATCTCATTCATCATCATCCTTCCTTGGCCGCGGTGGCTTCTGTCCGTACACCAGCGACCTAAGCTTCCGTCAGCATCGTAACAAACCGGGTATCAAGCATAATTCACTTACACTTCCTGATAAGCATGAATCCCCCTCGTCCTCAACGCCGTCCTCATATGCGCAAGATAAACCTCAACCTCCTGCTTCGTCCACCCCATAATCGTGGTAAGCAGATACAAACTCCACCCTTCAATCCCCTGCTCCCAATTAATCCTGTTATACTGCCCCAGCTCCTTGAACCGCTTATCCGCCGGCCAGCCACCCACAGGCAACTTCCAGCGATGCTCCACGACGTTTATAAAGCCCGCGGCTTCTATCCCCGCGCGCTGTTCGTCGGCGGTGCGCAGCGACTTTCCGAAGCGGTCGCCGAGTTCGAGGGAGAGCTTGCCCCAGCGGTCGTAGATGGAGCCGGGGGTTACGGTGCCGTCGTCGGATTTGGGGACGACGGAGAATTCGAGTTGTTCGATGTAGCCGCCGGGTTGGAGATGGCTTGGGAAGGGGTTAGTATGGTGGTGCTGTTCCTGGGGTGTGGGGTGTGTGGACGTACTCATAGCACTCTTTGTAGAAGGCGGGCCAGTCGGCTACGCAGCCGAAGAGGGATCGTATGTGGATGAAGTCGAAGTGGTCTTTCTTGTAGAGCCATGGCTCGGTGAAGTCGTCGATTTCGAAGCGGACGTTTGGCGGGACCATGGAGGGTTGCGTGGGACTGAGGTCCGTTCCGAGTACCTGAGCTTGTCAGAGTGGTGTCGCGGACTCTTCGTCGCATATTTGTCCGTACCTCGGCCGATGGGTATCTATCCGCAAAGTCGCTGTTGGGTTCCCGTCAGTTTGTCGGTCGACATGCGAGAACGTGAGACTGACATAGCCCAGATTCCTGACTGGTCAGCTTTTTCGTTCGTCGATCAGGGTGTTCCTTGCATACCGGTGCCAGTCCCCAGATCCAAGACGTGCTAGAGTACCCGATTGTCAGCCCGAAGCCAACAGCCATGGTGTCCTGTCTGAGTCCAAACGTACCATGGGCTGTTTCGATATGGGTGCCAGGAACAGCTCGCCATCGAGTAAGAGGAGGCATATGTGGTGACTACCCAATCCAGTCAACACGCGTCCTTCGCCAAATGGGTCGCATGCCATACACAATATCGAGCTGGTCTGCCGAAGTCTCATCATTCGGCCCCCCTGTGCTCACTTAGGAACAGCATTGGCATGGAACGAGCGGGCAGCCCACAGTATGATCCTTCCTTGTATGCATGGTATCGCCGGCCGTTGCGGTACTTGTAGTTGTATACGGCCGATTTCAGGGACGTCGTCTCGCTTCGGTCCGTGTCAGAAGGCGGCTGGTTGGCGGGTTCGTCATCCTGGGAAACTTACGATGCCGAATCGTCGCCAAATGCCGAGTCGGTTTCGTCCGAGTCCTGGACGCTGGTGTTAGCAACGCGACCATCGTTCGCATGGGGACACGGCTTACATGAGCGATCTGGGCTCCAATGTCGGCCATGTTTTTCGAGGCGCAAGATGGATGATTGTCGCAGCGAGGGGTTTGCAGGTATCGGAACAGTGCGAACGAGAGGGTCGCCCTGCCACCACTTAGCGTGACCTTTTGTACCGATTGCAACGTTCAGGCCAGCAGCTCGAACTACTGCCTTTCGCTCCCGACAGCCGTGTGACCGCGGCTCTACGCCGGCGACATGCACGCATGCAGACAGTCGACCGGCCAGACACCAGCGCTATCAGCCAGGTGCTCCGGTTGGCCGCGGTCGTCCGCAATATGGAGAGTTGTCCTTAATGAAGTGGGGATGGCGGATGCCGTCGTCGACTCGTCTGCGAGAACTGCGCGCGACCATTGAGGTCAACTTCATCCTCCTACTATCCTCACAGCGCCCGGCGAACTGTCCCACCAATCAATGCCGATCGTCGAGTCCCTACCCAGCGCAGCGGTACTGCTGTCCGCGGGACTGACAGCCCTGCTGGCCTACGTGCTGTACGCAGTGACCTACAACGTCTACGTCCATCCGCTGGCCAAGTTTCCGGGACCGCCTCTCGCCGGCGCTACGACATACTGGAAAGCGTATATTGAGTGCATCGCAAACCGGTCCTTTTGCCACTTCCTGGTCGAGCTGCATGCGCAATACGGTACGAGGGACCTGGCACGCAGTACACAAATGTGCAACGCTGACCCGTGTGGTGCGCGACGATAGGCGACGTTGTTCGTATTGGACCCAACGAGGTGTGTGAAGCATCGCGAGAATGCAGTGAACCCCACTCTTGTGCCACCACGTGTCGCTAACCATCATGGCCTAGCTCCACTTTGCCAACCCCCAAGCCTACCACGACATCTACAACAACAGGAATCGCTGGGACAAGGAAGCGACGCTCTACAAGAGCTTTAACGAGGACAGATCTAGCTTCGGCTATCTCACGTATGCCGAGGCCAAGAACCGCAAGGATGTGCTCAATCGCTCCTTCTCGCCGGCTGCCATCGAGAGCTCCGAGGGTCTGTTGATTGAAAAGACCAAGGCTCTCTGTGCAGCCTTTGAGCGGCAGAGCAAGGCTTCCGCAAGTGTTGATCTGTTTTACGCATTCCGCTGCATGAGTATAGATGTCATTACGACCTTTTGCTTTGGCAAATCCATCCATGCGGTGGATGAGCCTGACTTCAAGGCGCCCATTGTCGTGGCTCTTGACGCGGCTACCCCTGTTGCTATGTACTTCAAGTATTCTGATTTGTTCAAGAACTTCATACTGAAATGTCCGCCTAATCTGTCCAAGAAGCTTAGCCCTTTGACAGCGGGCATGATCGATCTAAACCAGGTATGTTCTTTGCTCGCTGGGGCAGCGGCCTACTGACGTGTTGAAGTTACTCTCGCAGCAGATCAACGAGCTCACTGACGACCCAGAGAAACTCAAACTTCTCCCTCACAACATGACCATCTACCATCGGCTAATGGACCCGGAAGCGCATCGCGACAAGCAGATTCCATCGGCTGAGAGCCTGTATGAAGAGGCCCAAGCGCTCATGTTCGGTGGCACAGACACCGTCGGCAATACCCTCATGGTCGGCGCTTTTCACCTGCTCAAGCATCCTGACAAGATGCAAAAGCTCAAGTCGGAACTATCCGCGGCATGGCCATCTCTCGTCGGAAACGAGCCCACGGTCCGCGATCTCGAAAGGGTACCGTATCTGACGGCGGTCATCAAGGAGTCGCTCAGGCTCTCATCGGGAGTTACCGCGGGCCTTTTGCGCATCGTTCCCGCAGCCGGTGCAACGATAGCGGGAGTCGAGGTGCCGCCGCAAGTATGTCTGCATTTTGCTCTAGGCGAAGACGCGTGCTGATTGCGTGCTAGACCATTGTATCGTGTGGGAGCACATTCGTCCACTTCAACGCCGACATTTTCCCAAAGCCAGACGAGTTTGTTCCCGAGCGCTGGCTCGATGAATCTGCGGACTTGGACAAGTGGCTCGTCGCCTTCTCGCGCGGCCCACGTATGTGCCTGGGAATCAAGTAAGTCGATCTCGGTAACTTCAAGTGAGATCCGAAGCTAATGTGGTAACTTTTCGCAGCCTGGCTTGGGCGGAGTTGCGCCTCGGCTTCGGCCACGTCTTCCGCAAATTTGACCTGGAGCCCAAGGGGAAACTGTAAGTCGACTGAAGTTTCTTGCTCGTATGCTAAACTAATGACGATCAGGCCTGAGCAGCTGGTGTGGCGGGATGTGTTCTTGCCCTTCTACCATGAAGACCATTTGCAGGCACATATGCGACCTGTAAGTGCGTGATAAGTGTTGTGTCGGACATGGTCGCTGTTGGGGTGGTCGAGTCATTTCATAGATTGTGCGAAGACGACAAAGGGATCAGCCGACCGTTGATCGTGCTCTGGACTTGCACACGTGTAATTGAGCGCCGATCAGTCGGAGATATGGCACCTGGGCGCAGATCAATATAGTATGAGCTAGTGGGTGCCGAGGTGCAAAGGGGGACAGGGCTTTCTGAAAGAAGTTTGTCAAGCTGAAAAGGGCATTGTGACTTGTCGCTGTGCCTCTAATCGGCGCATGTGATGTATTGCTGAGAGGCATCTTTCTGCAGGCGGTTCCAAAGTGGTGGAGGGTTGCATCAGACAGGGTGTTGTCGGATGTGACGAGGGCTCTGGGTGCACGACATTGCATTAGCTGCGGGTTCTATTGCGGCGTCAGCTACATGCGCGTTTGGTACAAGCGCGGAGCACTGTGGTTCGCCGCCTCGTCCAACCACAGCGCTGAGCTGGGGGGAGAAGTGAAGACCCCGCCCCGTTTGAGCAAGGAAGGAATTAATAGACGCGCTGCAGTCTGGATTAGTGTAAGAGCGAAAGTTAGCAATACAAAGTCGTATGTTAAGCTCCAGGTTGTTTACTGATATGACTTGAAGGGGATGTGGGGGAGCGGACAGCAGAACACGAAGGTAGCTGGCGATCATGGCGATCAGCAGCAGCGATGAGAGTTTGGAGAGCAGGAGCTAAGGGCGGCGGAAGTTTTGGAGCCGATGGAGTCAGAGTTGGAGCTTTCAAGGTTGTATGAGACGATAAGGTTGGCGGTTTGTGCCAATCGGAAGGGCAAACGGGGGCGCAGAAGGGCCGATGATTGGCGGGCAGGCGTCCAAGCATGTGCGGCGGAGCGAGACGAGATGAAGGGTGACAGGCGGGCCGCAGAGGCCGGGCAGCTAGCCAGGTCGTGGATGGTTGGGGTGGATGGTTGTGGGTGGACATGTGAGGGAGACATCTGAAAGGGCATGCGATCAGCCAAGGGGTTTGGATGCAGCGATTCAGGCGTCTCATTGTCGTGTGGAGAGGGTGGGATGCAGGCTAGCTGGTTAGCGACGCGGGCGCATCGTCTGGCGCAGGCGAGCTAGGCCCCGTTGGCTGCCATGAACTCGACTTCTCCCCGCTGAAATACTGCATACCAGTACATACGACGTACACACGACGTAGCATCACGACCGCCCACCTAGGTACCGCTGAACCCCAGCCCGCCCTTTGCCTGCCCCCAGCGCCTTCAATCCCCCAATGTCCCCATTGCGCCTGGCCGCCAGCCGTCGCACACGCCTTGACCTGGGCCCGCCCTCGCTGTGAGCGCCTTTACCATGCCCGCCACGGGAGGCAGCAGGGCCGTCCACGCGCCGCCCTCGAAGCCGACAGACAAGGGCAAGATGGCACAGGCCGCCCAGCCGCCGCGCAGAGAGAGCAGCGCGGGCACCTCAGCCCAGCGGCCCGGCATCAAGACGCGCGCATACTCGGCTCCCAACGTGCCCAAGAGCGACACCGACGGCCAAAGCGAGCTCGACCGCACCGACGAGGCCAGCGAGGCCGACGAGATTGCCGACGATGCCTTCTTCCAGCGCTACCACTTCCCCCAGCCCACCACCCTCTCCACCCAGCACGAGGAGGGCGACAGCAGCGCCGAGTCGTCGTCCGACACCGAGGGGCCCCTCTCGCCCACCCACCACAAGGACCGCCAGGCCCTGGATGCCTCGGAGCCTTCGAGTGTGAGTAGATGAGTTCATTGACACGGGGAGGATGATGTGTTGGCAATACCGCAGTAACTTACATATGTAGTCCACCAGTGACTCGGCATCAACCATGCAGGACCTCAACATCGCCGTCATCGGCGCGCGGACTTCGGGCAAGAGCACCTTCATCCGCCGCGCCCTGGGCCTGCCCGACACGGCCACGACAACCTCCTGCTCGCGCCGCATGACCATCGACGGCACCCCCTACGTCGTGCGCTTCCTCGAGATGACCTTCAACGACGTGCACGTCGGCGACCGCAGCATCATCAAGTGGCCCGAGACGGTCCACGACTTCGCGACGCCGCGCATGGACGCCGCCGTCACCCTCTACGACGTCACAAACCACGAGAGCCTGGGCAAGGTTCCGGAGATGCTGAGTGCGTACCCCGCCATCGCGTCAGCCGACGCGCCTCGTACGCGACATGCTGACTGAGTCCAGGCACACTGTCCAAGGC